CCCTCTAAAACCAGCCTGGTCGACCAGCTAATACCAGCCAACCAGCCTAGGCTGGTTTAAGCTGGATTTTTCAGCTGGGTTGGCAACACAACGTGGCGTCTCTCTGCCATCTGAACACTGTAACTGGTAAAAACAGTCTTGGAAGCTATCATGCATATTAATGAAGTTGCAACACATACCCATTAGAGTGCGCAGATTGGTTTGAACCAAGTCTTACTCATAAATGAATGCAGCACACACAGAGAAACACGTCATAATGAACTCCCAGGTACAGACGTCCAGTCTACATGCTGGAACACATGCTAAGATCTAATGGCCGTGACGCAGCTTCAAAACTTCGTTTCAAACCGGAAGTACGAATTAGCTTAAAATAACGCAAAAACAACCAATTTTCACTTTTTAGTGAAATATTTGTGTCCTAATAGTGTTTTTAGCAGCATGGGACACATATATGACTGTCAACAGCTCAAAAAAAGTGTTTTGGTGTTTCGTGACCCTTTAAAGCAGGCAAAGTTGTTTATTAAGTGACATGCTTAAAAATACAGACAGCAGAATGAAACAAACTAACATACTGTTTAAAGCAGGGGTCACCAACACGTGTTCTAAAAATAGCTCATTATAGCGCCACTTACCAGTAAGCTTCATCTAATATAGAAGTAATCATTTAAAAATATAAATATTTGCAGAGATATATAAAAATAAAGTGTTGCAGATTGATACATTAAAAACCGGTTATTTCCTACCCTGTTAAATCATTGTTGATAACTTTTGTGAGAATCATTAACATGATCAGTGTCTTCACATGGATGAATATCATTCATTATTACCAAAAACATAAAGTATAATTAAAAGTAAATTGAGCCAATTTGTTATTTGAGAAGTGTTTATCAAACTGGTAGCCCTCCACATTAATCGGTACCCAAGAAATAGCTCTCAGTTTCATAAAGGTTGGTGACCCCAGGTTTAAAGAAACAGCTGTAACATATGAACTGCCGTTATGAGGCTATGCAGCGGTTTGAGGGAGAAGCAGAGTAAAAGCCATTCTCCCCAAAACAGTTTTCTTTCCTTCTTATACCCTGAGCAAAGCATTGTCAAACAAGAGTGAAAACAAACCCCGAAAACCAGCTGAACATGAAGTTGAGGATACAGAGTGGGGGAGAAGTGCATTAACATACTCTCCTCAGGCCATGACTTAACAATAGTAAATAGATTATATATTGAAATACATCAATCTCTCTGTTGATTTCATCACTACAATGCTTAAGTCATAAAGTGTCAAATGACAACAAACATGACAGTTATATGAAGAAAGATCACAAGCAGATGAATTGTGTATGGTGAGAGGCACTGTCACACCTTTACCGTAAGACAAACGGCAGAGATGTGTATAGGAGCTGAGGTGAACTCATGACCAGTGCTTGGAATATCTCAGTAGCCCTTCATCAGCATAGAAGGAATAGCATATAATGTTGTCTCAGCTTACAATCGCATTCAAAATACCTCCAATCCAAGTTTAACATGATATGAAGAAACATAATTACAGCTACAGAGCTCTGGTCCACTACTCAAATGACTGTTATTGTGTAGTAAAAATGTGTACTTTTACTTTCACTTGAGTACATGTTTAGTGCTGTATTGGTACTTTTACTCCACTATTTTCCTTCAATCTGCAGGCACTCCTTTATTTTTAATTGGCTAAAATAGAAAAACCAGTCCTGTGATTACCGTCCAATCAAATCACACGTAGAAACTTCATTGCATCATAAAGAACAACCTCAAGACATGGGCGCTTCATACAGTAAATGCAGCAAAGCACTAAGAGTGTCCAAGAAGATGTACGAAATCATCACGCGCAATGACCTCCAGGGTATTTAGACTACTTGTCACTGATGCTGTCATCATGATGATTAGTCTGTCATGATGGTTAAAGCTCTGAATAATCTAGGTCCTGTTTATCTAACCAACCTTCTGTCTCGCTACAATCCAGCTCGCTCTTTAAGATCTCAAAACTCAAGGCTTCTGGTAGTACCTAGAATAGCAAAGTCGAGTAAGGGAGGTAGAGCCTTCTCCTTTATGACTCCTAAACTCCTGATAAAGCTCAGACACACTCTCTCAGTTCAAAACTAGATTAAAGACTTATCTGTTTAGTAAAGCACTCAATGCATCACCTAGCGGGTTTCAACACAAGTTTCTGCATCTTGTTTATATACACTATGAACAGCAGCTACGCTTATTATTCTCTTTCTTCTCCATTTCCACCTGGGGATACTCATCCCGAGGTCCTCAGATTATGCGGAGTCACTGATTAGACCCAAGACCAGCGACGAGATGATCCCAAGCTGTCCATATCCGGGACCAGGCCGTATTTTGAGCTGCTGCTGCGCTGTTGGTCATGGGGGAGTGGAGAGTATGAGACTGATTCCTGTGACGCTCCAGGGACAGACGAGTCTTCGCCGAGGCTAGCTTCCAGCCTCCACTGCTGAGACTGCAGCTCTGCACAAGACTTTTGGCCAGCGGAGAAATAAAAATTAAAGAAATTAATTAGTCGTGCTAAACTGAGTCTGGTTCTCTTAAGGTTTTTTTTCTTCACTCTCCTGTTGGTGAAGTTTTTTTTCCCTCTCCGCTGTCGCCACTGGCTTGCATGGTTCAGGATCTGAAAAGCTACTCATCGATGAATTTGCTCTTCAGTGTTTGGACTCTCAATAATGACTTCAAACCACACTTAACTGAAACTGAACTGAACTTAAACACTAAAAACTGAACTACCCTGATCCTGTTACTATGACCATTTATGTGAAGCTGCTTTGACACAATCTACATTGTAAAAGCGCTATACAAATAAAGCTGAATTGAATTGAATTGAATTGAATTTCCTAACAATTTGCCTACTTTCATCTGCCACTGAAATCAACGGTAATGCTAGAAGTTAGGTGTATCAGACCACCTCACAGAAACAAACAGAGACATGTTTTTATAGCGACCCGGTGGAAATGATCCAATGAATGGCTTATTTACAGTTGTCTCTACACATTAAAACTGGGATAGATAGCTGTTTTTTTAAATTATGTTGGACACAGTTGTGTTTTTTGAAGCTTACTGCCCATTACTTCCTTGCTGGAGAGTAGATGAAAGAAGCTAAAGCAGTGCATGTAGAAAATGGATGCCACACATCATTTAGGCTGCGATACTCATTTAAAGCTAATTGGCCGATTAGATCAGACTGAAAACAAGAGAAAGGGTCAATTATGCTGCACTTTGGGTCTCATTGGAAATGCTTTAATTGTCCCTCAATGTAAAATAACTTTTAGTGATTTGCAATTAAATGCTTCCTGTGTAAGGATTCTTTTTATTTTGTTTTGTTTGTGGTTGGTTGTGGTTTTTATATTTACGTAGAAAATAATAATTTTTAAAACAATTTACTCTTTTATTTTTTTTTATATATGTAAAGATATCTGTGTATTGCTGTACATCCTGTGTGTATTAAGCAATGTGTAAACGTTTGGACCTGCATAGGCACATAACTAACTTGCTCTGCACAGAACTTTAGACCAGCTTTTAGTTGATCAATGGTGCAGTCTATTTCAGTTCCTCTAAATAGTAACACGCCAACAATACAACTTAACACACCTCCTTTATAGACCAGCACACCCATGAGTCTACAAAGTGGTGCAAATGAATTTTATATTAAAACAAAGTGGCGTAAAATGTGAAAATTACAGTTGTGCTGGTTTAAAAATGGCAACAAATCGCGCCAAACTGGTCTTGCACCTTATTGGGCCAGGTGTATGATAGGGCCCTAAATCTTTCAAACATTCATACTTGGAACATCTGAAACAATTTTTATTGGGATTTATTTCAAAAATGTTGATTATAATAATACAGGGTTTCTGCAGGTTTCATCAAGTCCAGTTTAAAACTTTTTACTACCATTATAACACTATTATAGATGAAATTGAAGATTTATGCTGAAGGAATTTTTGTTTTGCTGGCCACAAAAATCAAATGTTGTTATTTCTTAGCCACATAATTTAATGTGGAAAAACAAGAACAATCTCTACATTTTTTTAAATGACAAGTTTAACATTGTAAAAGTATATCACAGAAAAAAATACATGATTAATCAAAAATAGCTAAAGTACTTGTTGGTTTTTGGTCCAAATGAATTCAACCTAATGTGTTTCTGTTATAAACGTTTCTAATAGTAATCTAAACTTAATAGTTTTAATAACTAATTTCTAATAACAGATTTATTCTATCTTTGCAATGATGACAGTACATAATATTTGACAAAATATTTTTCAAGACACTTCTATACAACTTAAAGTGACATTTAAAGGCTTAACTGGGTTAATTAAGTTAACTAGGCAGGCTAGGGTAATTAGGCAAGTTATTGTATAACAGTGGTTTGTTCTGTAGACTATCAAAAAACATGTAGCTTAAAGGGGCTAATAATTTTGACCTTAAAATGTATTTAAAAAAATTTAAAACTGCATTTATTCCAGGCGAAATAAAACAAATAAGACTTTCTCCAGAAAAAAAAAATTATATCAGACATACTGTGAAAATTTCATTGCTCGGTAAAACATAATTTGGGAAATATTTAAAAAAAGAAAATCAAAGGAAATATAAATGAGATGGATGGTTGGTGATTGGATAGATCTCAGCCTGATCTGGGAGCTTTACTTGGACAGAGGAAATTTAAGACCAATTTAAAATTATTTAAGACATACAACACAATATTTCTGTGAATTTAAGACTTTTTAAGGCCTAAAAAGTTGTTTTGAAAATTTTTGTTTTGAAAAATACATTTTAAGACCCCGTGGACACCCTGTAATAAAAAAATAAATAAACAGCATTTATTTTGAAAATGAATCCTTTACACCAATTTTTGATCAGTTGAATTTTCCATGAAAGCCAAATTCTGATCTTTGCCTTTCAGTTAGTGAGACGCCATAAATATAGCACAGTATATGAATGTATGTGTGCATTTGTTCACTCACCCTCCATTCAGACACCTGCGTAATGAATATGAGGCTCCGCCCCCACATGTGCGAGAACAGTCACTCCACGTGCCCCAGGCATCCCAACCAGTGTCCCTCTCCTCATCAGACCGGGTCGTTCTTGACGACTGCAAAATGCAACAAACATCAACATATGAGGGTGTGTTCACACTTAGTTTCAAACCAGCAGGAAAACAAGAGACATTTGCTCAAAAAGCAGTCAAAGACCACATGAACCGGAAACTTCGACCGTTTTTTCACATATTATGACGCAGTTCCTAGAGAAATTGAATATTAAATAAAAAAACTGTGGGTGTGGCTTGTTTTTTCTACTGCGAGCTGATTGAATGTAGTAACGTAGAAATTTAATTCAGAATAGTGGGGAAAATGGTTTGGGGAGAGTTATTACAACCTAACAGACACCTCCTCCTCACCATTTCTGTTTGTTGTCAAAACTGACAGTTGGATGGGCGTGGTTAGGTAAGTTAGACACCCCCAACTCCTAAGATAAAAAAGTGAGTGTGTGTGATGCTTAAAAGACGCAGTATGTAGGATTGTCTAGTGGTTGAACAAGGTATTGCAGTCCAAATTTAAAATATTCAAAAGGCTTTATTTCACCCAGCCTATCCAACAACAACTAGATGCAGGTTGCCAGATTGAAGACACCAAAAGGACACCAAAGGCATGTCTGATCATCAAGTCTTACGCTGTTAGCTTCTCAGCTAATGTTTACATTTGTTATCTTTGTATTATTTGCTACTTAAAATGACCTCATGTGGATTTGTATTACTCTAAATCAGAGTCTCTTTTCAGAGGATGGTTCTGTCTTCAAGAGGTCACAAGGAAACCCTGAGTGCCAAAATATCATTGTGTAAACTGACAGTGGGCTGGTTATAAAGACCAAAACAAAGACAGACATTCTAACACAGAAAGCATATATATATATATATATATATATATATATATATATATATATATATATATATATATATATATATATATATATATTAGGGGTGTAACGATTTATCGTTGTACGATTTATTCCGATGCAAAAATGTCACAATATGCATCGTGGCGTTATGACGATTTTATTACAATATGACGTCCGTTTTCTCTTATTAGTTGAGCTGTTTGCACGTGAGCTATGTTCCACCTGCTGTCGCACGTGAGTTCAGATTGCAGCAGCAGTAATGTTAGCAGACCAAGATGAGTGAAGCTGAAATAGAGGATGGCCCATCCTCTCAAAATCAAACGTCTGGCAACATTTCGGTTGTGTCATTGCTTTAGACTCGTCCGCTTTTTGACACGCATACTGGGTTAAACATAGCCGAAGTTTTAAAGTCTTCACAGTGATTTACATACTTTTCACAGTGACATGGATACCTCCTAATGGTGTTGAAAGAGTCACATACTGTATTTATAAGGTACAATTCACCCTAAAATATCATTCTGTCTTCATATAATGATGTATTGGCGGCCGCAAAATCACACTTGACGTGAGCTGACCGTGAGCTGTTACTACAGAGGGCGGACTGTGATAGACGCGCGCATGCGTCTGCTTCAGTGAACAGAACCTGCAGGTTGTGACTAACAGGTAATAAAGTAGTAAACAACATTCAGTTTGTGGAACAGAGTGATCGTTCAGGAGCCGCGTGGGAAGTATGAACAGCAGTGGAAATGAAACCGAAAGCGTGCACATTATTTAAATAATCATATCGCATTTTAGAGTTATGATTACGACGAGCATGAACTCTTTTGAGTACAGAGGTACACAAAAATGCACGTCAACATAATACACTTGATAGCGCCGACATCAGCGATGCCGAAGAAATAGTAAACCTGCCTAAACTGCTGAAAAGAGCCACGACTGTCCTGTGTAATGAAAAGACGGCCACCCTGTCACTCATCATGCCCAACATGAAGACAGCCATCCATAAAAACCTCTCAGACAGACACACATCAGTTCAGGATTATTTTATAGAACTGCTGATTACCTGGAAATGTAGATTGCACACACAAAAAAAACGCAAGTGACCAAGCAAAGCCTTAAGCTCTTGCTGTTAAATTCAATTGAATTGAATAATTTCAATAATATTTTATAAGAAGTTTTTTAATTGTTTTATTTTCCAGAGACAGGCCTGTTTAATTTATTTTCTTAAAGAAGGTTCAGTTTAACAAGTTGAAACAAAAGAAATACATAAAAAATAGTTTACTTGGTAATTAAAATTTTTTTAAAAATAAAATTTGCATTTCAGTTTAATTTTCAATTTTTATTCCAAATATCGTGATACATATCGAATCGTGAACATTATATCGTGATACACATTGTATTGTGAGCTAAGTGTATCGTTACACCCCTAATATATATATATATATATATATATATATATATATATATATATATATATATATATATATTATAGGTGGCCATAGATATTTTTTTATCTAGATTAATCTTGGACTTAATCTAGATTAATCTAGATTAAAATGGCTCATTTGAATTCCTATGTGAGATTATGTACTACCCAAATAATAAGTCTTTGAGAACGGGTTTCTCAAGCCAGGTAGCGCATTAGACCAGGGGCTCATCTCCTGTTTCCAAAATGCATCACAAACTGCTTGAGAAACTATTCTACTATATATAATTTACTTGTTTGTTTCTCTGGTCTTATTGCACATGCGGGAGTTTGTGGGAGTTTTCCTTTCATTTACAACATTCATAGGTGGAAAATTCTTACATTTTAAATTTATGAATCAAGCAGTGTGATTCACTAAAGTTTGGAGTAGTCAGTTAACTTGTAATTACAACTTTGTTTAATAAACAATGCAGGTTGCAAACTCTTTGTTTGCAACACATCCATGTTCTTTAATTAAAACACAGCCAAAAGAAACACTTTACAGAACTACACTTTCATTTGTTTTAACACTATTACTAACACTAATTTGCACTGTTTAGTAAATCTGCTTTAAAATGTTGTCAAGGATCTTAAGGATACATTGTTGTTAAAGACAGATTTTACACTGAAACTTGCATTGCCTTCAATATCAAATGTTTTTGCCAGACATTTCTTCTTCTTCTTCTACTTCTTCTTCTTCTTTTTTTTTTTAGAAAAACACAAATTAATTTTCCAGAGTTATTTATGTTTGGTCAGCCACCTATCCACTGAGCTCCTCGACTCTTCCAGCAGTAAATCAGTCTTGGACATGGGCTCCACACTGACCTTGAACATTAGCTGCGCTCCCAGCCGTCCCGAATACCTCTGCTTGATTTCTTTACCCACTCAAACTCTCCTGTGTTGATATAATTTATAGAGCAAAATATACCCACGTCTAGCTCTGACCGCCTTTTTATTTGGTGTCAAATCAATTGAGGCTTACATTTACTGGACACAACCTCCCATGAGTCTGATGAAAAAAGCCAAGACAGTAATTAAGCAGAAAGACACAGGAGACCGGGATTCATGTCACGTTTCAATCTCACACACTATATACAGTATTGATTCATTTATTTTTCCTTCGGCTTAGTGTCTGTTTCAGAGATCACCACAGCGGAATGAGCCACCAGCTAATCCTATACAACTATAGTTTTATTTACACTGCAGCCGATTTAATTCCCTCAACTCACCTACAGTATAACGCATGTTTTTGGACTGTGGATGAAACCGGAGCACCCAGAGGACTCGAACAAGCTGTGAGGTGACAGTGCAAACCATTGAGCCACTGTGCCCTCCCCACTGATTATCACAACCAACAGGGAAAACAGTGCTGCATATCACTTCTTTATACAATCTGCTATATTAATATATTTGCGATGCACAAACCTTTGGCTGTCAAAATGTATTGGCCGAAACCACAAATGTAATTTTTGTCTGATAATTTGGTGCATCCCTAATATATGCATATGATCCAACCCAGGCTCATTCTGAAAACGTAGTCCAGCGGACGTTTCTGGAGACTGCGAAATACATGCAGGGAGGTACGTATGGCTGCATTTAATTTTTTAAAGCGAACGCTACGGGGAGGTGTGATGACGTTCCCTTTCGTGCTTGCCGGCTGTCCGCTTACCTCCATGTGGAGGGCTCATCAGCTCATCTTGTGCGTCTTATCTCGCGAGAGACGTTGGAGATACGAAAAAGCGCACACAGCGGCCTCTCTCGGATTCGCGAAAACAAAAACTGCACAAATACGTACCTCCCGGGACGCATTTCGCAGCCTCCAGAAACGTCCGCTGGACTACGTTTTCAGAATGAGCCTGGGTTGATATGATCAATTAATAAAGAAAAACAGCTAAAAGTATGAGGCAAAAAAAGGTTCTGTGCTGCGTTATTAAACCCATTCATTTAAATGGCGTGAGACATGCAAGAGCATTGTGTTACCACAGCAAACAAATGACACCAAGGCATACAGCCTGGAAAACAAAGGAGTGGCTCCGTACGAAGCATATCAAGGTTCTGAAGTGGCCTAGCCAGTCTCCAGACCTAAATCCAATAGGAAATCTTTGGACAACCCTGAAACCTGACAGATCTGGAGAAGTTCTGTGCTGCGCTAAATGGCAAGACATGTAAGGGCATTGTGTCACTACAGCAAACAAAGTGTAAGAGCAGCGGAGCACATTTTTGACCTGCTCACAGAAAAAGCAAAGTAACAAAAATAACATGCCAACAGGATATTTCAATATAGTATTCTTGTTCCTGCTGCGTGCAATAGTGCTACTGTGGTATTAGAGCAACGCTGGTAACATGACGTCTCTATGCTTTAAACTTCTTCATTGTCAATTAACCTTTACTGTCAATAAAATGCTGCTATTTTATTGATTTTAACTTATTAAGCTGTTCATGGTTCTGCTCCTTATCATAAGTGTGATCTTATATCTACCTCCTCTTCCTCTCGTAATCTACGTTCCACTTCGGGGCTCACCTAGTTTCAGCCTCGTTGCAAACTTAGCACCATGGGAGGTAGGGCATTCTCTTATCGTGCACCTAAATTGTGGAATGCTCTCCCCACAAACATCAGGAACGCCAGTTCCCTGGACTGTTTTAAGAAACTTCTTAAAACTCATCTCTTCGTTATTGCTTATAACTTATGAGGCTTTCTTTTAATATGTATTTTTATCATTATAATCATTCTT